AATTCCTAAGAAGCTAAACAAATTACCCAAGGTTAAACTGTTAACTGAGTATTTTTTTATACCCCCATCTCACCCCAAGTGCAGAAAGTTCTCCAAACAAAAGTCTTTTCTTTTATTGTAATCCATATGGTCTTCTCCCCCACATAATATATAGTCAAAGCAATAGTAAACAAATTCAAGCCACAGGTGGCAATATTTAAGGATACTTTGGGTAGAATGTTAAATGATCCAGGAAGTATCAAAAGAAGATGGAAGGAGTACACAGAGTCACTGTATCAGAAGGAATTGGCTGACACAGAGGAATTTAATGAAATAACATATGAACAAGATCCTATGGTGATGAAGGAGGAAGTTCAAGATGCTCTGAAGGAATTGGCAAAAAACAAGGCTCCAGCAGTTGACAGCATACCTAGTAATTTATTTCAACAAACAGACGCTGCCCTGGATATGCTCACTAAGTTGTGTCAAAAAATCTGGAGGACAGCCAGCTGGCCAACTGACTGGAAAAGATCGATATTTGTTCCCATTCCAAAGAGAGGTGACCCAACAGAGTGTGGAAAACAGTTAAGTCACAGTAAATAACAACCTACCCAACTGGTATGATAAGGACAGAGAATGTGGGTGAAAAGCTGTGTGTAGTAAATTAAGGGATGTAGGAACATTAGTAGATAATCAACTGAGGAAAGAGAGAAAGGATTTACTCTCTTATGTATTTAGAAAGTGAAAAGGGATAAACTCTACCAAAGAATTAAATCTATTTGCAAAATTACTTCAGGGATAAAATAGCAAAACACATGCATAATTAAAATTATAAGGCACCGAGACACAGAGGAATAGAGACAATGAACCCAGAACATAGTCTTTATTTTTTTTAAGTTGAGAAAAAAAATGTATTTCAGAGGGAGTTAGCACCTTAGATAGCCCTGAAGTTGATTATTCATTGTTGGGAGAAGTGGTATATGGTAAGAAATTGGGTAGCCTTGAATCAGGCCACTTTGCACATTTGGGACTACAGTATCCTCTACTGGCAGTTCATGGATATCACTGAGGAATAAAGGAACTGTAGTTTTGTGAGGGTGGCAATCAACGACAGCTTAAGTTCAGGAATAGCTAACTTTTACAAAATTCAGACTGAACACAAAAGGGGGACCCACCCTTGACTCATGTAGCTAGAAGCCTCAATATTTCCACTATTCCAAAGGGGAAAAAAAGGCAGCTCAACTGGAATAAGGATACTCAAAGAGACTGGCCAAGGTGTATGTGGAGATAAGTGTCTAAGTGCAAACGCACATAGTACTGCCATGTCCCTAACCATCAAAGCATTACACTAGGGTCTGTGACTTTAAAAAAAAGTCAAATTACCTGCATTTTAATGATTTCTTGACATGGTAAAATATGTTTACATTACAATCCAAGAATGGTACAGTGAGTAGAAAGTATGGAGAAACAATTCAACAAATAAAAAAGGAAACCAAGAAACACATGCCGGGAACAGGAAAGGGCTTTTTGCTAGAAGGGATCTGGAGATTGAGTAGGGGCATGACCCCATCTAAAATGCAATGGTTTGTTACTGAGTACTGCTCACTGGAAGACAGCGTCTTGACTCCTCTAGAGCATACGGTGAGTAAAAAGGATATATTCCTATTGTAGAAATACAACTGGGGGTTGAAAGACAGAGACAAGGAATAATGAATACTAGACACTGAGAAAGTCACTGGCAGTCTGTGGTATTAACTCTGCAGTAAGATAGAATAACAAAACTGGGGTCTAATACACGGGTGACAACAAAAGCTGTAACAATGAATGCTATCTCTGTGGGAATTCCACATTTAGGAGGAAACTCATCTATTGTTAGTTTTACCCAGCGGAGATTCACACGTACACAAATGTGTGTATGCATGTGTCCATATAAAAGTAAGTGTGTGTGTGTGTGTGTGTGTGTGTGTGTGTGTGTGTGCACGTGCATGTTCACACACAAATATACACATACACCCCTACCTACTTTCCCTGGAAGCATAATACTATAAATAAAGGGAATATTTTCCAACAGGAAAGACCAGCAAGAGCAGGAGCATTAGGACCTTAAAACTGCAGGATGCTACCAACCCCGATTTACAAATGACCTGGGAAGAGGCACCAAGGAATCAAAAGTCAGCCTTTGTAGTAACAGTAAAAATGACCTGAGTCACAGAGGAAGAAGGGTGCCTTCCCCATTCTCCCTGCTTCTCATCTCTCAATTCTCTTCCACTTATTCTGGGCCTCAGGAGAGAAGATGGGTCCAGGGATTTTGTCTGCGTGGGGAATGACTGCAAAAACTATCACCTGTGTCAGGGTTGAGGGGGTGGGGTGGAGGAGGTAAAGGTAGAGGAAGGTTTGCTCTGTGTGTGTGTGTGTGTGTGTGTGTGTGTGTGTGTGTGTGTATACACATGTACACTATTTGTATGTGAAAACCTCATTTAAAATCATGTCAAGAAGCAAAGGACTTGGCTGAAGGTCTAAGGTGTTCCTTGTGTCCAAGCTCAAGATGGGATTTATATAAATGTGAAACCTTAAGTCATTGGTTGTGGCTAGGAGGAATCTATATCCCACAGAAGCAAGAGACACTAACCTATGTCATGGAGAGATGAGCCAGTTCCCTAACCCAGTTCCTATTAAAAACACCTAGTACTTCCCTTCCAGATCTCTTAGCTTCTAGTCAGCTAACCATTAGAAAGAAGAAAACACAAAGTTCAAGACACATGAGGGAAAAAGGAGGGAATAAGAAAGCACAAGTCTACTCATGCCCAGATCCTGCAAACACAAATCAAGACTTCTCCAGAAATTAGGCAGTTAGGTGGATATAGGTATTAGGGAGGTAAATAGAAGAGTTCCTAAGGCCTGAAAAAAGAGGTAAACATGTCAAAGAACTAGATGAGAGCTTCATTAGACTTTAACTAAAAACAGAGAGTAGTGTGATTACAATTTCCAGCCAGTTTCCCCATCACAATAGTCATGTAATAAACCAAAACAATATAGGTCTTGAGCCAGATTCACAGAGTCCCCTGGCCTTAGCCCCGTCCCCAGTACAGTGTCTCTGCATTGCTGCTCCAGGGCTATTTGATCTTCTCAGTATTTTTCAGTATCATGTCATATAGAGTAATATATTGATTCCTTAGCTCTGAGATGATGAGCCAAAGACTTATATATCTTTCTCATCAATCTCTGTGAGGGTATGGCAATAGTCTTCCACCTGGGGATATTTATCTATTTTAGAAATCAATTTGGCTCTTATAATAGATAGAAATCTGGTCCAGATAAGAGGGAGCTTCTCTTTCAACAGTCCTTAGATCTGCAACTGTCTCTTCCTGAATGGATACCCCGAAATTGTTCCCATCTTCTATTCTGGGAATCGGAAGTTGTACCCACATTTTGACCATGCTGCATTTCTTAGTCAACAGCCAGATCTGGATATCAAGTTTCACTTTCTCAATAATGTTCACCAGCTGCTGGTAGCTTTTTAGCATCCCATTGGGCATCACAAACACCTTGGTTCCTTGGAAGGCCTCTTCACATTCATCCAATCTTAATTTCTTATAAAACCATGATAGCTACTGGTGAGAAGAAAGAGATCAGGGACTGCAAGATTCATGTCTGAGCGGATATGAGTGAGGTTGTGGATATTTAAGATGGTTTCCCTCAAGAAACTATCAAGTTCTAGTAACTTCTTTGGGAAAAATTTGCCACCAAGTCTTCTGCCTCACTTCAGCTCCCTGAAAAAAATCAACCTTGAGCTTCACTTCCCAATCCACCTTCAGCAACGAGGCCATGACCAGACTCGATCGTGTCCATTCAGCTGGAGACCTGAGTCGCTGAAGGCACTGGGGAGGGGGCCAAAGAGGCAACAGAAATCTTGGCTGCCTTAGGGACACCACCGCCTTCACTGGTTCACTCACTGCTTGTTTGCTCCCTTCCTCCGTGTTGACTGCCCTCTGACCTACTGCTTGCTCACTCTCTTGCTCACACTCTAGTCTTTCCAGAAAATAGTCTTTTCTAGATTTTTCAAAAGAAAAGTGTCCAGGAAAGAGGAACTACGGTAAATGTTAAAAAATCACAAAATGAGAAGTTAACAATAGGTATAATTTTCCACTATTATTATAACTCATTTTAAAAGCACTGTTATAGATATGAAGACTAGAAGTAGGGTATCTCCTCAAATGGATAATAGAGAAGCTAAGATTGGGTGGGGGAAGCTAAGTTGGGAACTGTGTAAGAAAGAAATTAGTAGAAACATGGGGGAAATTCTTTTGTCACAATAGTACTTGTCTTTGAGGGTAAATTTTGTTTGTTTGTTTTTTCTTATTAAATTTTATTAGTTTTAATGAACATTTACAGGGATTTTGGGTTTTCATCCCTTCATTGCTGCACCATTCTCTCTACCCTCCTCCCCAGTTTGTTCTTCTTCCCCCGCCATCCAAATGTCTGTTTTAATTGTCCAATTGCCACAGTGCTTGTCAAAGTCAGTTCTGATTAATCTCCTTTGTCAGTGTGTCCTTTGCCATTCCCTATCACTCCACCCTGAGGGAGTGAGGGTAAATTTTGAAAGACCCATGGAGAGGGGCTAGCTGGTCAGAACTAAGGAGTGGAAATGGGAGAGGAAGCTGAAGAAGGTACTGTTTATAAGCGAGAATAAAAATGTTACAAATATTACAACTTTTTAAACAATTAGTATAAATAATCTGGCTGAGCACCATGAGGTGCGTGAGGATAGAAGATTTAAAAGACACCAAAACTAAATATGTGAACTTCAGAGTTTCATTGCTCATAAGGTAGTACTAGTCCTGCTTGTGATTTTCACATCACATAAGTGACCCTGGTATAGAATTGCTGTCAATTTTCTGTTTTGTTTTTCCTGCAGCATAGTTTTGTTCCCTTTTTAGGGAGTCTTGAGATGATGAATAGACAAGGGCTCATGACCCTCTGACTTATCCATCATCTCCAAGGGGGAAAAAAGGGAGAGTTACCTTCTTGCAGAGAACCATCTGATGGTCAAACAGGAAGAAGACCCTCTGCTGGTTGCGGCCATAGGGCTGGTAGATCCAGGCCATCTCTCCAGTGTAGATCAGCTCCGAGCTCCTGTCTAGGATGTCCTCACCCTGGGAAGGAAATGTGATGGTGAGAAGTAGCCAAATGAGAGTGATCACCATGTTGCCTGCCTGGAAGCACCCAGGGCACAGACTAGGAAGGAAGGAGGCCAGAAAGGACCTGGTATGGAAGGAAGAAGGAAAGAAATCTTAGAAAATTTCAGAAGACTTTACAACTCCATAAGCTGGAAGGACTCAACATTCCTGTTTTCAAGACTGAATGAGATTCAGAATTGCTACAGCCCCTCAGTGTCGGTTGCCCTCTATCCCTGGCAGGAAAAACTATCATGAGGGCTTTTTTAAAATAATTTTCCCCTCTTTCTTTCTGTTAATCTCTCTATCTTATCCTCTTAATTCTTCCTCTAGTCTATCATTATCTTTCTTGTATCTGGAAAATAAGTCTGAACAGCCAGTAGACGCCAGTCTGCTTCCGAGATGAATAGAAGGGACAGGAGAAGGGAAGAAAGGGGGGGAGGATCTGCTCATCCTATATTAATTACTCTTTTTACATCCTCTGAGTCAAGTCAAGGTCTTTGCAATTGCATCAGAGAGCTGGACAACAACCAAGGATGACAGAAGAATAATTGATGTCTTTTAGCTATAGTGCCGGAGAAGAGTATTGAACACACCATGGAATGCCAAGAAAATTAACAGGTCTATCCTGGAGATGGTGAAAACAAGCTGCTCCTTGGAGGTAAGGATTATGAGACTCCATCTCACATACTTTGCACATGGAGCCAGCAGGGATCAATCTTTGGAGGAGGATATCATGTTCAGCGCAGGAAAAGAAGACCCAGATGAGATAGATTGACACAATAACTGAGGTAATAAGGGTAGATGTGTCAGAGACAGTGAGATTAGTTCAGGATAGAGTAGGGTTCAGAGCTATTGTGCATAGGTCCTATGAGTCATAGTTGACTTGTCAGCACATAACAACAACAACAAGAAACAACAGTCAAGTAAAATTTCCTGATTGAAATAGACATTGCTACCACATTCTACTAAAGTATCTAGAGAGCCTGGAACCACTTCCTTTCCCTGTCACATATGTTGTCACTGTTAGATGCCATTGAGTATGACATAGTAATTGTATGAACTCAAGATTTGAAGTCCGTCTTATTCTGTGCCATCCTCATCATTGTTGACACACTTGAGAACATTACTGCACCAATTTATCTCATGAGAATAGACCCTTCTTTTGCTAATCCTTCACCTTTCCAGGCATGATGTGACTTTCCAAGAAATAGTCTCTCCTAGAAACATGCTCAAAGTATGTGAGATGAAGCTTTACCATCATTGCCTCCATGGAACACTCCAATTGCACTTTTCCAAATGAATACATTTTTGCTCTTTTGGCAGTCCATGAAATATTCAGCACTCTTCTCCAACATCACAATTCAAAGACATCAAGTCTTTTTTTCCCCCTCCTTATTCATGGTGACTTAGTAGTAAGAAGCTGCACTGAAATCCTGAAGGCACATGGTTCAAATCCACCAGCTGCTCCATGGGAGAAGGATGAACAATCTCTTCCCATGTAATTAACTACCTTTAAAAACCTTCTGCAGGGTCAGTTATGGGTTGATTCCAACTCAACAGCACATAACAAGAGCATTCATTGTTCAGGTCTTAGATGCATAGTAAGTGACTGAAAAGATCATGGCCTGAATCAGGTGCACTTTAGTCTTCAAACGGAGATAATTGCTCCTGAGTGATTTGGAAAGGTCCCTGAGAGCAGCTTTGCTCAATGCAATATATCTCCTGATTTGACTTCTGGTACCAATGGTGTTAATTGTGAATCCAAGAAAGAGGAAAACATTGACAATTTCAATCTTTACCTCATCTATTATGATGTTGCTTATTGGTCTAGTATGAGTATTTTTGTCCTCTTGACATTAAAATGCTAACAGTAAGCATTTCAGCAAGTAAAGATGTGTTGTTTGCATAATATAGGGGGTTGATTAGTTTTTCTCTGATTCTGATGTCTCATTTTTCTTCATAGAGTCCAGTTTCCCAAATGATTTGCTCAGTATACAGATTTAATAAGTATGGAGAAAGGCTATAACCCTGATGCACAACTCTCTTGATTTTTAAACCTTGTAGTGTTTCCTTGCTTTGTTTGGACAACAGATTATTTTGTAGCCTTCCTCCCTGCTTTGAGGTCTGAGTTTTGAAGCAGACTGCTGGCAAGGAGAGAGATGGTTGAGTCATTTGTCACAGGTAGCCAATTATAAAAAAAGCACATAGTAGTTACTAAATAGTATGTTTACCAAATGAGTCAATGAGTATTGAATGGATTGTGTCCATATAAAACTACTCAAAACTTTACTTCCAGCCTAGACACTTCCCTCCCTGGGCCCAATGCCTTGGAGAAGTAAAGGACTGCCTGACTTAATCACATTCAAATTAAAAATTATCTGATATTGAGTTGTGGCAAAAATCTATTCAGGAAAAGAACAAAGGAAATGTCACCATGCTTTTCATCCAGTTTATTTTTTTAATTTTTGAATTTTATACAGTTTTACTTACAAAGTTTGTATACATTTTTTTACACTGGATCTTTCCCCTTTCCTTTACTCATCCCTACCTCCACTCATCAAATTGTGGGGTCCTATGATTAAGCACTCCTTGTACCACCCCGCCCCCACCCATTCTTACCCCTCTGATCCCCCATCTCCTCCTAGGATCCTAATAGTAATTCTAAAATAATGGTCTTATACAGTATTCGTCTGTATGAGACTGAGTTATTTCAGTTAGCATAATGCTCTCAAGTCCAGTCCCTCCTAAGTTAGGTAGTAATTTTTTTAAACAAGCATTTAATAAACTTTTATTTATGGTCACAAAATACTTTTCTTTACAATGTAAATGAGCAAACACCACTCTTAGTTTAACAATAATAAAAAACAGGCAGGTTAAGCCTGATCTATAACTTAAGACTGCTATCCTTTGGGCCAGAGAACTACTTCCTCTTACAGGTAAATTTGGGCCAGGTGCTCTAACATGCCTAATTTGATTGAGTGTAGAACTTCTTGTATTAAACTAGTATTTTAGAATCTGTTAGCATAAATTAAATCCATCACTGTTGAATCAAAGACCTCCTCTATAGCCTATCCTAACTCTATACCACATGGAGTTTCCATTAAGAGCAAGATCATGAGAGCAAGCTTGAGACATCACGCTAAAAAGAAAGGTCTTGGGATATACTCTTGAAAATCACTGAAGAAAATCTCATGGATCACAGCAGAAGTTAACTTGTTTTTGATGCATCATCAGTGAAGACTAGTTCCTGGAGAAAACATTTGTGGAAGACATGATTTTGAAAGATAAAGCACATCAGTTTCACACAAACAAAATATGTTTGTGTGAACACACTCACCTGACACTTTGCCTGAAAGATAACCAAAGGGACATGCACAAAATTTAAATTAGGTAGTAATTTACAAACTCATTGCTCCTGTGTGCTGTATAGTATTCAATTTGTGTGAATGTGCCATAATTTCTCAATCCATTTAATTGTGATTGGGCATTTGGACTATTTCCATGTTCTTGCTATGGTGAATAACGCTGCCATGAACAATGATGTACAAGTTTCTGTGCCTCAGTTCTCATTTTCTCAGGGTATATTCCATTCAGAGGAATAGCTGAATCATAGAGAATTTCTATGTTCAGTTTTTAGAAGAAACTTCAAACTGCCTTCCAGAGTGGTTTGCCATTTTACAATCCCACCAACAATAAATATATTGTTGGTGAGATTGTAAATAAAATAAAATTGTAAATTTAAATTGTAAATAAAAATAAATAAGAGTTCCTATCTCACGACATCCTCTCCAACATCCAGTTTATTTTTAATGCTGCCGATTTCTAGGGAAACTTAGTGGTCCAGTGGGTGTGTAGCTGCACTGCCAACTCAAAGGTAGGTAGTTCAAAGCCACCAAATACTCCTCGGAAGAAAGGTAGGCAATCATCTCCTGTTTGATTTACAGCCTCTGTAAACAAATCGTTCAATGTCAGCTATGAGTCAAATTACAACTCAACAGCACATAACAACATTACTTCTAAGGAGACAGGGAAATAATAAACACATCCAGTCTTATATTTGATCTCTCTAGAAGCATGCCTCATTTAACCATATGGGGTTTTAAGTAGATTCTTTTGCTATCTCCATTTTATTTGTGCTTTTGGTTTCCTCCAATTTCTTTTTTTATAAAGGTTTTATTTTTATTGTGATTTCAGTGAAAGTTTACAGAGAGATTATTTTTTATTCATTAGTTCATTCATACATATACATTTAACTCCCTCCTCCTCCCCAAAATAATTTTATAATGCTTGTCCTGCTTCAGATTGTTAACTGTCGTACATAATGCTTAGCAGAGAGCACTGGTGGCCTAGGGGCAAGAAGCTCCATTGCAATCCCAAGGCATTTGACGCAAATCCATCAGCTACTCCTTAGCTGAAGGATGCGTAATTTCCTCCTGTGCGATTTAATGCGTCTGAAAAGTCACAGGATGGTCACATATTAGTTGTTTCTGACTCAACACCATAAAACAACAACATAATGTTTAATCATAGATTGGTTTTACATCGTCCTTTCCTTTACCTATTTCAGAACAGAGTTCATTCATCTTCCCCCTCACTCGTCATATCATCCTACTGTTAACAGTAGTCTTATACAGTATTTATACTTTAGTGACTTATCCTTTCACTTAGAAATATATCTTCCACAGTCATTCATGTTGTGTAGTGCTTTATGAGTTCATTCTTTTTCAGTGTTGCATAATAATTCTTTGTGTGGATGCACCAGTTTCTCTATTCATTTGCTGATGGGCACCTGAGCTGCTTCCATTTCTTTGCTATTGTGAACAATGCTGTAGTAAACCTAAGTGTGCATATACCTGTTTGTATTAAATATCTGCTTTCTTTGGGGTATATGCGCAATAGGAGGGTGTTATATACCACTGAGTTGCTAGTGATTCATAAGGTGACTTATAGTCATTCTATGAGCAATAGCTCTGAAA